AAGAAAAGCCAAAAACCAAGATCAGACCAAAAACCCGTTCTTACTACTGAGCGGCCGTCCCACTATCCACTAGGCCAATGGCGCAAAAGCGATTGAAAAACGCTTTGAAACCTTATCTTGAGATTTTCAATTCAATTTTTACGCGTTTGTAGACTTATTTGGGAGATTTTGTGTTCAGATTATGAATCTCCATACTCGATTTAGTGAGATGTATGTGCTCCGGAAATGAAAGCACACAGGAAGTTCGTGCCTTGCTCTAGTTAATCTTTTATCAACAGACTATAGCGTTGGTCTAACAGCTTCATTTTCTTTTTAGATTAAAAGTGAAGCTATGATTGGAATGTAGACAATGATAGTACAAAACGTAATTACCGATTTCACTAAAAAAATTCTCAAAACTTTTTTCATCAACGGTATGCTTTCCTGAATTCAATCTATTACTTATTAGGGGTTTTAAATAATAGAAAGAGAATAAGAATAAATGAAAGAAACCTTTCCAACCAGAAGCTGAATTTGTATGGTTCGAAATTAACTTTTTTAACGAAACATCTGTCGGTCTTTTTTCCCGTTGGCAATCCAAGGTTTTTCGTGTTTTTCTCAGCATCTACCTTTCTATTTTTACTATTTTAACTATCATTCAATGCAGAATAAAATTGCGCATCGAATGATACCAAAATCAACTCAAAATATAAGATCCATGAAAAGTTATGAGGCAAAAGGTTAAGCCCCGCCGATAATAGACGAGGTTTAGCTTTTTAGCCAACAACTTTGCGTGGATCTTATATTTTGAGTTCATTTTTGTATCATTCGATGCGCAATATTATTCTGCATCGAATGATAATCAAAATAATCAAAATCAATAGGTGGTTTAGCCAACAACTTTACCCAAAAAGAATCGAATTCCATTCGAATTTCCCCAAAAATTCCCTTTCAACTTCCAGCTGCCAAGCCACCAACTTTGGACGACTTTGTGAAGGATTACAACGAGTTCGTCAAGCGCTTCAACAAGAACATCCAACCCGAAGAGTTACCCAATCATTTCAACGAATTCGTGAAGAAAGTCGGCGACATGCCAAGCGATTTCTTCAACGCTCTCACATTGTTGCCCACCGCACTCGCACATGCGAGAATTTTACCGTGAATAAATTCTATACAAATGTTATTTGTTAATAAAAAAAACTATTCTAGTTTTTGGCCCGTTTTTAAAAAAAAAGATTGACAAAATAGCAAAAAAATCTGTTTTTTTTGAATCAACGGTTGTTGGACTTTAATTTTCTTAAAAAAAATCGCTCCTCAACTCGAACTTTCCATCTTTTCACCCGGAACCATAACTCTAAAAGGGATAATCTTCTCGTTGCCAAGTTTAGTATATCTTTTCTTTTGTCTTTTTTTGAATAAAGAGATCTTGCACACAAATGAAGTCACTCAAGAACAAATCTAGCCAACCAGCCATTGTTCTTTCAGAAATTTGTGATCAAAAGAGAAAGGAAAGATTAAAAAAAACTGAATTTTGTTGAAAGTTGAAAAACTCTTCAAGAAAAAACAGATTTTCTCACGTCGACTCGTTTAGCAGAGCTTTGGTTTTCTGTTTCAGTTAAAATTACGGTCACAAAATGGTGACACCAGGAGCAAGACCGGCTGTCTGTGCCCTGTCGCTTATCGGTTATCTCTGCAATGGAACGTTGATTTATTTGATCAAGAAAAATCCGAATTCACGAATGGGAAACTATCGGTGAGTTGTAGAAGTGATTGGGTCGGATTTAGTCGGATTTGATCGGTCGGATTTGGTCGGTTGGATTTGGTCGATGGGATTCGGTCGGTTGGATTCGGTCGGTTGGATTCGGTCGGTTGGATTCGGTTGGTTGGATTCGGTCGGTTGGATTTGGTCGGTTGGATTCGGTTGGTTGGATTTGATCGGTTGGATTCGGTCGGTTGGATTTGATCGGTCGGATTTGGTCGGTTGGATTTGGTCGGTTGGATTTGATCGGTTGGATTTGGTCGGTCGGATTTGATCGATGGGATTCGGTCGGTTGGATTCGGTCGGTTGGATTCGGTTGGTTGGATTCGGTTGGTTGGATTCGGTCGGTTGGATTTGGTCGGTTGGATTCGGTTGGTTGGATTTGATCGGTTGGATTCGGTCGGTTGGATTTGATCGGTTGGATTCGGTCGGTTGGATTTGGTCAGTTGGATTCGGTCGGTTGGATTTGATCAGTTAGATTCGGTTGGTTGGATTCGGTCAGTTGGATTTGATCGGTTGGATTTGATCGGTTGGAGTCGGTCCAAAAGGGTTTCCGGTCGACCTGGCTCAACCCAAAGTCCGACAATCCGACTTGACGTCTATCTCTAGTGAATCTAAAGATCTAAGATCTAAAGTCCTCTACCAAATATCTAATCAAATATCAGATATATCAAATATCAAAGTTCATGTGATTAAACTCAGATATCTTATTCTTATGTTGACCATTTTCAACATCGTCTATGCCACCGGCCATTTGGTGGTCTTGCCGGTGAGTGTATCTGGGAAAATTGGCATTGAGTGCTGTTATTAGGTTGTCCCAGAAAAACCCAGAGATTTTCAATTTTATTTATTTTCAACACATATAAACAACAAAGAATCAGAATCAAATGATAAAGTTCGACTGTACATGATAAAGATAACTTTACTTACTTAAAAGGTTTTGTTAGACTAACAGTTAGTTGAACACAGTGTTAAGCTATAATCTAAAAGCAGAAACCCAATCTTTTAGCTCACCTATATGCATGATTTCGGTTGGTGCTTCTACTCGTCGTCATTCCTCAGCGGATACAAATTCGGTGAGTGATAAAATTGATTTCGATTTCTAAAAACCGAACTGTGCTAACAACCGAACGAAGAACTTATGGCCGTGTACCGAATTGAATGCCGAAATGTTTCAGTTGGCTATGCTCTCATCCTTGGCTACTGTTCGATCTTTGCTCAATCCACCATTCTCCTCGCCTATCATTTCATCTATCGATACGCATGTATCTGCAAGTAACACATAGAAGTGTGATCGTGAGTGTTTTCTTTTTCAGAACTGAGTGGCTCGAGGTGATCAACACGAAACGAGCCATTTCTATGGTCATTTTCTGCTACATTCTCTACTTTGGGCTATGGGTGGCAATGGTGCATCTATTTGCCGGTAAGGAAATGGATCTCTTTGAACTAGCCTTTCAAAACATTGACTTTAGGTCCAACCGATGCATTCAATGAGCGAATCGCTATCGGCTTTTATGAGTATTCGGGGCAATGGCCAAATGAGACAGCACTGATTGGAGGATATTATTTGGTGATAAGTCTTACAAATCTTACAGAGGACGGATGATTGGGTCCAGGGGTTTTGGGGATGACATTTTGGTGATGACAAGCTAAATTTCAGTGGGGCAAAGGCGGACAAAAATCGCTGCAAAGCGCCGAAAAATTCTTGGTCTAATTTCTTGATAAAATACGTTTTTATATTTGAGAAATATTGAGAAGACAAATTTTTTTTGGGTCTGATTGGGTCCCGTGGCCTTTTCCGATGTTATATAGGCCATTCGACGCAGAATTTTACACTGACTCCAATGATGTAAACATAGCTGCTGAATGGCAGGTATTCACCGCTAAACTGGGGTAAAAGTTTTGAGCCTCTCCTTTTAAGCTGACTTTTTTCAACAAAAATCGTTCATCGGTGGCCGAGTGGTTGAGTGATCATTCGAGGAACTAAAACAAAGAAAAAACAAAATATACATTGACAAGTTGTTAAATGTTTAACAAGAATGACAAACCACAATCGAATGATGCAAAAAAAAAGCAAGAAAATATGAGACGGCTTTGAACTCTTGTCCCTCAGCTTTCTGTACAACCACTCGGTCACCGATCAACCGTTCGTGCTGAAAAAATCGACTTAAAAGGAGAAGCTCAAAACTTTTATGCCAGTTCGGCGATGATCACCCGCTATTCAGCAGCTATTTTTTACATCATTGGAATCAGCGTAAAATTTTGCATCGAATGGCCTATATATCATCGGAAAAGGCCACGGGATGACCCAATCATCCTTCCCATGTTAAAAATTTAAAAAAAGGCTTTTTTTTTGATAGCTAGCAACCTCGATTTTTTAGCTACGAGATAACAACAGTCATTTGCACATCAATTTACGTCCGTGGATCGCGGTGTGTGTTTGCCAGACACAAATGAGTTGTATGTTCGGAGGTGAGTCTACAAGAATGAGACTTTTTATTAGCTTTGCACTAGTTTGTTACTTGAGACAAGAATTAGTTATTTATCTATTATATATAAAAGTGTCTATCTGTCTGTCTACCTGTCCATCTATCTGTCTGTCTGTCTACCTGTCTGTCCATCTGTCTACCTGTCTGTCTGTCTATCCGTCTGTCTATCTGTCTACCTGTCTGTCTGTCCATCTATCTGTCCATCTATCTGTCTACCTGTCTGTCTGTCTATCCGTCTGTCTATATGTCTGTCTGTCTACCTGTCTGTCTGTCCATCTATCTGTCCGTCTGTACGAGCATTTTCTCAGCCATATTTTGACCAAGAAAACTTCCTTCAGAAAACCTTAAAATATATTGTAGTTGTGCCATTTAGAAAAGTCTTCAAAAATCAAATTTTGGTGAAACACCCGGGAATCAAACCCGGACCGTGTGTGCCGTAGACAAGGGTGTCCCCAAGGGCACCAAGGCGACAAAGCATCGAGTCAGAGCCAGGCTGTTAAGCGGGCTTTTCGGCTGGATTGTTTTATGTGGTTTTTCGGTTTTTCGGCTGATCTGGCTATAAAGTTGAATATATACTTGCTGGAATACGGTAGAAGCCAATTGACACACAACCCATCTAGCATTTTAAATGCATTCTGTCTCTAACCAGAGCGTAAAACGTTCGTTTTAGTACTAGCCAGTAATGTCTCTGCTAGTCATTACCGGTTGTGTAAACTTTTACAAGTAAAATTTCAAATTCCTATTATCAAGTGATCCTCTACTGTGGCTGGTCGATGCATCGCAAGTTGAGCTCATCAGAAATGGCATCAGAGAGGGGTTTCCGATTGCAAAAGCAACTTTTCCGAGCCCTACTCATACAGGTATATCGACTAGAATCCATCCATCTAGAAAGATCCACTTAGCAAATCTATTTCAGTTATTCTCTTAATCAAAAATGTTTCAGTTTCTGGTGCCAATCATTCTCGAGTACATCCCATGTGTTGCCGTCTTCTTTCTCCCCTTAACGGGTGGAGATTTCAATCTTGAATGGGCAACTCTCGCCGTCTCATCGTATCCAATTTTCGAGCCACTTGTTGTCATCTATTTTGTCAAGGTTTAGAACTTTATAGAAATAGTATAAACTAGACTTCGGAAAACAAAACTTAACCAAAACCAAAACCACCAAAACCAAAACCATAACAAAACCAAAACCAAAACAAACCAAAACCAAACCAAAACCAAAACAAACCAAAACCAAAACAAAACCAAAACAAACCAAAACCAAAACCAAAACTAACCAAAACTCGCCAATATCTCGCGACTGGGAGGAGCTAGCGAAAATCTGATTGCAGATTTGAAATCAGTGTCCAAAAATCTATCCCATATGCTATTTTTTGTTTCGAAATTTCGAGGTCGTGTTTTGGTCCTTTTTTCCGCCGCGAGATTTTGGGGAGTGAGAAAAAGTGAAAGGTAAATTTGCATTTTACAATTTAAAATTTGCATTTTACAACTTAAAGTTTGCATTTTACAATTTAAAATTAAACATTAAATTAAAACATTAGAATTTGCATTTTACAAAATTTACATTTTAATTTATATGCAAATTGAGTTTTGGTTTTGGTTTTGGTTTTGGTTTTGGTCTGTTTTGGTTTTAGTCTTGTTTGCCGAACTCTAGTATAAACTGTAATATTTAGGAGTATCGAATCACTCTCCATAGAACCATTTTTGGCAATCTCAAAGGTGGCACCGTTTCTCAAACTTTTGAGAAAACCACACAGGTTTAAAATTTGCAATTGGTTCTAGAAAGGTTTTATTGTTGGTTCTATTGTTGGTTCTGTTGTTGGTTCTGTTGTTGGTTCTGTTGTTGGTTCTGTTGTTGGTTCTGTTGTTGGTTCTGTTGTTGGTTCTATTGTTGGTTCTGTTGTTGGTTCTATTGTTGGTTCTGTTGTTGGTTCTGTTGTTGGTTCTGTTGTTGGTTCTATTGTTGGTTCTGTTGTTGGTTCTATTGTTGGTTCTGTTGTTGGTTCTGTTGTTGGTTCTGTTGTTGGTTCTATTGTTGTTGTCTGAGTAACGATTGTTCTGTATTTAAGTAAATTGTGAATGAATGTATCTTTCCAGCAACATCCTCACGATTCTCACACGACAGAAGTGAAACGATCGAAGTTAGCGACATGAAGTCGAACTGAGTCAACCATTTTCTATGTCTTGTACTTTGCTTGAAAGACACTTACAAATAAAAGCTTTTAGCATCACAAATCAATTGAAAACGCATCGATTCAACAACACTAAAAGCCAGATTTGAAAGGAGACAAAAATTTTCGAACTTGATACAATTTTGCTTGAAGCATTTTTAGTAGATTTTATGGGTGGATTCTAAATTTAGTATTGGGTTGATGAATTGAAAACTGCCGGACTTTGAACTAAAATTTATTGAACATAAAACCATAAATTCATTCCAAATAATTTCCATTATTATTGACGACTTCTGCCCATTTAATAACCAAACAACAAAAGAATATCACAATGGATTAAAGCTTCGCATGATTTTTGGATAACTATAATTCTTAATAGAAAAGGTACTCTGATACAAATATGGTAAGTTTTTAATATTAGGGGTTTGCAAAAGAAACTGCGTATTATACGCAACGTTCAAACACCTCGAAAATTAATAATAAAAGACTTTATTCCAAAAGGTACTCGCCAAAATTATCAACTATATTTTTCCATTTTTTACGTAGACTTTGGATGCCTGATTCGAAAGATTCCGGATCTTGTGACGCGAAATAGTCTTGCACCCAAATTTCGACTTCTTGGTAATTGTTAAACTGTTGATTTGCAAGGGAGTGTTGCATAGATCGGAACAAGTGGTAATCTGAGAGAGCGATATCAGGGGAATATGGCGGATGAGGCAGAAGATTCCAGCCTAATTCTTCTATGGTGTTTTGAGCCAAGTTTGATGTGTGTACCCGGAAATTGTGAGCGAGTAAATGGATGGTCCTTGGATTAACACCTCTTTCTCGTAGAATTTCATCAACTTTCTTCAGCTGTTCGGTGTAGGTTTGAGAATTTATAGTTTTTGAAGATTTTCTTAATTCAAAATAAACGATTCCTTTCATATTCCAAAAGACCGAGAGCATAACTTTCTTTCCGTGAAGTTTTGGATGTGATATATCTTTTCTTGATTTCGGTATCTTGAGAAATTTACAAAATAGTAAAAAACGCGCATTCATAACTGGACAACCCAATATAAGAAAAGTATGTAAGTTTTACATTAATCCACCAAACCAGCCACGTTTTTTTTCTTCTGTTTGTTTCACTACAAGGTTCAAAGAAGACGCGCCCTTTTTCGACTTTTAAATGAACCAAAATTCTTATCAGTAAAAAGAAAGAATTCTCTTCGCCCATCTGATTTCTGATTTTGGTTTCTTTTGAACGAAAATGCTCCAGATCTCAATATTTACTATAATCTATCTATTCTCTATAGTAAAAAGTGATCAACCAATCGTGATCACAAAGAATGGCGGTATTATGGGGAACTATCAGCCGACGTCGGATGGAACGAGAGTCAGCGAGTTTCTGGGGATCCCATTTGCCGCGCCACCCATCGGGAAGCTGAGATTTGAGGTGATTGCTTAGATTCAAAGCCTTAGATTGCTAGATTGATAGATTGCTTAGATTCAAAGCCAAATAATTCATATTTGATTAGAAGACTTCAAGATTGATTATTTTCTAACGACTTTAGATATTAGTATATGATTTCTTCAGAATGTTTACTTCAGAAACCCCAGCCACCGATCCCATGGACGAAGCCGATCAACGCCACTGCCTATTCGAAGGGGTGTATCCCTTGCACGAGGTTTCATTTTATGATATTATTAGGTGTGTGAAAAAGTAATCGACGTTTTTAACGTTTAAATATAAAAGACCATAAGTTTCGTTAAAATAATTTTTATTCAACGAAGTTTTAATCACCATTCGAAAGAACAACCTTTTGCCGACGTTCTACAAGTAAAGACATTCCACGATAATAAAAATCTTGGTCCTTAGAGGCGAAGAAAAGATGAACCTTTGACAATTTTGATCAATTTTGACATCTTCTTCGGAATTGAACCGTTTATTGGCCAAAAAGTTAGACAGAGACAAAAATAAATAATAATCAGATGGAGAAAGGTCTGGACTATGAGGTGGATGTGGTAAAACCCCCCCATCCAACACTCTGGATTTTTTGTCGAGTCTGTCAAGAGACATGTGGTCGCGCGTTATCATGGAGCAACAGGACACCTTTCCTATTTACGAATGATGCGCGTCTCTCAGTGAGTTTTTGTTGGACTGCATCAATCTCGGCACAATAGACATTCGAATTAATCGTTTGGCCACGTGGTAAATAGTCTATGTGCATAATACCACGTGCAGTCCACCAAACTGTCATTAAAATTTTTTTAGGATGGAGGCTTTTTTTGGGCATTGTCCCAGCAGGTTTACCACGTTCCACCCACTGTCCAGACCTTCTAGAATTATCGTAATCAACCCATTTTTCATCACACGTAACAATTCGATCAATAGATGGCTCAAGTTGATGTTTACTAATCAAAGAATTGGCGATTGTAAGGCGCATTGTTTTGTTTTCTTCGCTCAATTCATGCGGTATCCATTTGTCGAACTTTTTGATAAAATTCATGGCATTCAAGCGTTTCCTTACGGTTGACCCATCAAAATTTAATGTAAAGCCTATTTCTGAAGAGGTTGAACGAGGGTTTTCGAGAAGACGCTTTCGAGAAGCGTCTTATTTGGTCATTAGATAAAAATAAAAAACGTGGATTACTTTTTCACACACCTAATACATTCTTAGCTTTCTAAAGCGAATCTTTTTCTCAAAAATCTCAAAATTCTTATCAGACTATTTAGCTGAAAATTTCCAACCAATAAAACCCTAAAAGACTTGCTAAAAACGCGCGGGAATGATAGTTAAAAAGAAGCCGGGGAAACCCGGTCATGAATCTTTCTCAAATGTACCAAAGTCGACCACCATTATTTCAAGTCAATGATTGTATTGAATGACGAGAAAAATCTAGAAGAACAAGCATAAGATTGTCATTGTTTGATCTCGTTTTCCCCTCCTCATTCCTCGATCAGAAGGGAAACCTCCACTTAAAACTGTTTGAGCAGTCTTGACCTCAAAAACGACAAGTATTCCGGCTATTTAGAATCGTTTTTTCTCTACATTTTTAGATATTTCGTGCTTTCACTGTTCAGCAGCTAAAAATAAAAAACGTGGATTACTTTTTCACACACCTAATATAATGGCAAATAATGTATATTTTATAATATTATAGCAGCATATAATAAAATTATAATAATATCTGTGACATTTAATCAAAGTTCACTAATGTTTTATGCCCGTTTTAGTGCCGGCGTTTCGCGAGACACGGTCAGCGAGGATTGCCTCTATTTGAATGTCTGGAGCCCGAATTTGCAGGTGTGAATCTAAAATCGAATAAAAAAAATTGTTGACATATAGTAAATATATTAAAGATTGTCGATATATGGCCAACATTCAGGGTCTTCTGCCCGTTTTCCTCTTCATCCACGGTGGAGCCTATGAGACTGGCGCGGCGTCTGTTTACGATGCGAAAGCTTTCAGAGAGGTGTATAATATCTTTCTCGATATCTTTCTCGATTCTAATATATTTCTCCTAGAATTTTGCTCGACGTGGCATCGTTGTGGTGACAATTCAATACCGGCTCGGGCAATTCGGCTTCTTGACGCTAAACGACTCGGTGATCACCCCGAACCTCGGGCTCTGGGATCAAACGCTCGGCCTTCAATGGATACAGGATAATATTGGGAAATTCGGAGGTGCATGAAGCTTATATAATATACAGTCGAACCTCTCTATAACGAACCTCGATATAACGTAAACCTCTCTATAACGTAAGGCGTGACCGGTCCCGGCCGACGTTAAGCTATATAAAACGGCACTCTATATAACGTAAACCTCTATATAACATAAGCTATAGCCGTCCCGTGAGTTACGTTATAGAGAGGTTCCACTGTATATATGTCGTAGCCGTTTACGAAATTCAGCCGCTAACGAATGAGGGTATTTCCGGGCATCAAATCAAAAAGTCACAGTCAGTCAAAAAATTTTCTACTGAGCCAAAAAACTTGCTTAATAGCTCATTTTGTAGCCAATTTGATGTAGTTTCTTAAAGTAAAGCCATCTAAAACAATTTTTCGTTGAAAGTAGGAGAAAGGGGGCGAGGAACAAATTCAGGGCAATTCTCAAATGTGAAAACAGCGACCGAGTTCAATTGAAGTCGTTGCTCGCCCTCTTTCTCCTAGCTTTGAAAAACAAATGTTCAATGTAGGTTTACTTTAAGAAACTACATCAAATTGGCTACAAAATGAGCTATTACGGCAAGTTTTTTGGCTGAGTAGAAAATTTTTTGACTGACTGTGACTTTTTGATTGGATGCCCGGAAATACCCTCATTCGTTAGGGGCTGAATTTCGTAAACGGCTACGACATATATATGTATATTTGTGTAGTTTAATAAATATACTAATATAAACTCTTTAAGGCGACAGCAAACGGGTGACGATTATGGGGGAATCGGCCGGCTCCGAGTCCGTCAGTCAGCTGACCATATCGCCGAAGACACAACGTGGGTATTTTCAGTGATCTGCTGAGAAAAGATACTACCGTAAATACTGTAATAGTACCCCACCTCCCTCGTACAGTCGCGTAGTCGCAAGTTTAGTCGCGTAGTCGCTTAGGGTTTTAGTATTTCATTTTTTTCAAAGCACCCGTACTTTCAAAAAATGCGTCTTTGGTATCAAAAAATAGCCCTGAATTTCAGCTATTTTTTGATAATTGTATTGCTATTGTAGCACAAACCAGTGTCGAGAAAAACGCGTCCAAAGCTAGACTACGCAACGCTCCGCAACGCACGCAGATTACTACGCAACGCTCCGCACCGTCATTATGGGGGTGGGGTACTATTACAGTATTTACGGTAGGACTATAAATACGACTATCAGTAAATATTATAGAATCGAATTTAATATAATGTAGAGCTGAAAAACTCTTCAGACCTCTTCCAACAAGCCATCCAGATGAGCGGAACGTCGATTGGAGCCGCCGCTCGAGGGACAAATACTTTGGTTGGTCTTATCACACGGACGCAATACTTATCCATCCACTTTTTGCCGTAATACTTATCCATTTGTCCACGAGATGGCGTAGTAGAATCGACAGGAAATTGTTTCTTCGGCATTTCGTTTAATCAAACGTTTAATCAATCAATCAGGCCGATCATTTCTGCGCCAATTCGTTGTTCAATTTGTTTTTTATTTAATTTCAATCTAAAACCTATACAGTAATACAGTAATACAGATAATATTTGATATCAGAAGCATAATATCAGACTTAATGCACATACAGATGCAATTAGAGTTCGGCAAACAAAACCAAAACCAAAACAGACCAAGACAGACCAAAACAGACCAAAACCAGAACCAAAACCAAAACCAAAACACCAAAACAAACCAAAGCTCAATTTGCATATAAATTAACATGTAAATTAACATGTAAATTTAAAATTGTAAAATGCAAATTTGCCTTCCACTTTTTCTCACTCCAACTACCATTGTCTAACAAGTGCTATTTGGATATTTCTGAATGATTGAATCAAAAAGCACACCGACAACCGTTGATTCCCCTTTTTAACCCCATTTTTTTGATAAACAGCCGCCAATCGATTTGAAGTGATTCCTCACTGTGAGTCAAGCACTTCACTGTAGCGATAGACAATATTTGCCAAGTCTTTGTTTATTGGTTGCAAATTGTGACAACCACTGATTAAAGATACTGTAAGAGCAGTAGTGAAATTGAAATGTAGTAGTAAAATTTTGAAAAAATACATGGTGTTTTGATGGATTCCGAGTCAAAAGGACGTGAACTCGGAAAACTTCAAATTTGACTCGGTAATCTCGATCATTTCTTCCAATAAAACTTCTCACTCCACAAAATCTCGCGGCCGAAAAAAGGACCAAAACACGACCTCGAAATTTCGAAACAAAAAATAGCCTATGGGATAGATTTTTGGATGCTGATTTCAAATCTGCAAACAGATTTTCGCTAGCTCCTCCCAGTCGCGAGATATTGGCGAGTTTTGGTTAGTTTTGGTTTTGGTTTTGTTATGGTTTTGGCTTTTGGTGGTTTTGGTTTTGGTTAAGTTTTGTTTTCCGAAGTCTAGATGCAATATACAAAGACAAATTGTGTATTAATTGCCTTCTAGACTTTTTCTGCAAACTGGACGAGCAGACTTGGCTGTGATTTGAAGTCCGACTACAAAACGTTTGTCGTTTGTCATTTTTGAGTTATCAATCGTTTATTTGGCTGACATTGATATCGGAATATGACTTTTGAAAATTATAATCATCAGTTTTCTGATTATCCACATATTTTGCGCTTTCTTAAGCGTAGTGCATTTTCGGTTCGTTCGCCGATAGATGCACAACGAAAATTCACGTCTTAAGGCCCTTAAAATCGACTTTTTCAAACGTTTTTTTCACCATTAGATAGAGCTTGTAAGCTTGAGCTTGTAAAATGCTATCTAACGGTAAAAAAAAACCTTGAACTTTTTTGCTATAGAGAATATGCTATAGAGAATAGATCGACTATAGTAAATATTGAGATCTGGAGCATTTTCGTTCAAAAAAACCAAAATCAGAAATCATTTGGGGAAAAGGCGATTCTTTCTTTGGGGAAGAGGCGATTCACTGATAAGAATTTTGGGTCATTTAAAAGTCGAAAAAGGGCGCCTCTTCTTTGAACTTTGAAACACTAAAAAATATGAAGAAAAATGGAACTAGAGTCATTCAAAAATTTCCATTAATATTGACGACTTCTGCCCATTTTACAGGCAATTTGCGGATTCCTCTTTCGTAGTAGGATTTTGGTTTGTGTGTGAGACAAGTGTGAGACTCAAAAATGGAGGACTGGAGATGGAGACTGGAGATCCCAGTTTGAGCACTTTCTTCAAAAGAAACCCATTTTGGTGTCAATGGAAAAGTTGTAGAGAATCAAAAATTAAGCTTATAGCCTAATTTTCAAAAAGATACACTTAGTAGTTTCGCTTAAAATGCAAGTTTTGTGAAAATTTGGCATTTCTTTCTTAAATTTGACATTTCTTGAAAACCAGTTTTTGAATCGTTCTGGAAATTTGGATATAAGCTTGATTTTTGATTCTCTACAACTTTTCCATTGACACCAAAATGGGTTTCTTTTGAAGAAAGTGCTCAAACTGGGATCTCCAGTCTCCATCTCCAGTCCTCCATTTTTGAGTCTCACACTTGTCTCACACACAAACAATAGCCGGCAGTTTTCAATTCACCAACCCAATAACTTCGACGACTTATCCCCTACTGATTTTCAAAAATTACTTATTCCTTATACGCGTCTCTAAAATTAAGCGGCTAGACTTTAACGGTTAGACTCAAAATCCAGAGATTGAAGCAAAAAACCCAAAAAAATGTAAGGAAGCACTGTCTTATTGGCAAATCTTCCGAAATGAATGTTTTCCGAATTGAGTTTTCTGAAAGGAGATTTCTGAAAGGAGATTTCCGAAATCAACGTCAGCCATTTATTTAGCTGTCTGCAAGGAAAAACTGTCGAAGAGTTCTGGAAAGTGAAGGAAAATAACGCTTGGGTTTGTTTTGTTAAGAGAATGTTCATCAAAGGCGGCAACAAATCGAATTCAGGGCTGCGGACCTGACGACCTGAATTGGCTGGGATTCGCTCCGATCATCGATGAGGATTTCTTCCCGAAGGTCAGAAGCTAAATAGATTCGACAGATAAATGAGCTAAATATGATTTCTATGTTCTATTTTTTTTTTCTTTTCTATCGAAGATAGTCAATCAATCTTCGGTTTTCAGCCAGAAGATGCTCTAAAGACCGTGCCCAAGTATCCGACGATTTTCGGGTTGAATCAAGTGGAGGGACGACTTTTCTGTGAGTTGTTTGCTTTAAATTAAACTAAAACTTAGAAAGACCATAGGTGATTATATTTGGGACCATACTTGGTTCATAATTTGACCGTATCTGGTTCATAATCTCTTAACATGGCTCTTGTTTGACCCTTAACCTCGTCTTACCGATGACGTCGGGCCTAGCATACTCTAATTTACTCTTTTCGACTTTTATCTTTTAGATTCTATTGAAATATTGATGAGACTCTGTTTTAGTCTATTTATTTTGTTATATTTTGTTATATTTTGTGTCTTATAGCCCTCGAAGGAGCGAGCATCTACATGTCTTTTGGGCTCGGCCCGCTGAAATGGCCCAAGTACAATGAGAGTCAATTCGTGGATTTTGTCAAGAAATTCATCACTTTTAAGGTTTTTTTTTGTGACAAGTTTCAGCTCTCCTTATACAGGGTGGAGCAAAACTATGAAAACAACTTTAAGTCGTGTTTTTAACCCATTCGAAACCGTAGCGTTTTTTTCTTTTTTTTTCGTCTGCGGACCAAGCCTTTTTTTGACATTTTTGACTCTGAAGCAGTTTATCCAGATGGTTGGAAAGATTTTAGAGAGTCTCCTACACCATTTATTTTTGATGAAGAACGATTTGGATTTGACTTCAGTACTTTTCAAAGATCCTATCGATTATTATTCGTCGTATCTATCGCATATCTATCTATCTATCTATCTATCTATCGTCGTATCATTCCATAATTCTAGGGATACACGTCCGAGGAAAGAGATCAGGCAACTCAGGACATTCTGAGCTATTACGAGCGAGGTCACGACCCGAGTGACGCAAAGTACTGGGTGGAGAGATATGTTGAGGCGAGGATTGTGAATTCGTGACTAATTGTGACTAAATTATGATTTTAACTTTATTTTAACCATAAAAGGAACAAGTTTTTTCTTTTTTCACAAAGTTTACATTAACTAACAGAACTTTTCTTGAGAACTAAGAGATTAACTAACAGAACTTTTCTTGCAGAGCTATTCGGATTGGGGGATGAATGTGCCGGTGGTCCGGGAAGCCATCGCGAAAACCCAAGCCGGCAGCCCGGTGTACGCCTTTTTGATGGACTACGACAATCCGACCACGTGGCCTGCAGGCGCTCCGGCACCAGGTTTGTCAAAAATTTTCGTAGTTATCAGATACTTTCTTCTCTTATAGGTTGTTCTTGACGTAATTTGATGTTTCATTTCTCCCTGACTGAAAGTTTAGGCTCAACGCATTCTAGCGAGTTCCCGTACACGTTCGGAATGTTGGCCGACTTCAACTATACGCAAGATGATCTGACAGTCGAGAAATACATTCAAGATGCACTCGTGCAGTTCATTAAAACCGGGTAACTCAGGGAATTTTTTTAAGAAATATATGTCGTAGCCGATTATGAATGAAATTTTTTGGTAAATCTTTCTAGTAGAGCAACCCTTTAATGTATGAGGACAATATTATATCATCCTGTAGCGAATTAAATTCTGCGTCGATTGGTACCAAATTTGTGAGTTTAGGTTAAAAATTGCCGGCGCTACAACGTTTCATTCAAAATCGGCGGGACCCCCGTAGCCGATTATGAATGAGTGGGTCTAGGAGCGTCCAACTATCAAGTATTTGGGTCTAGTAGCGTCTAGGAGCGTCCAACCATCAAGTATTTGGTATCATTCAACGCAGAATCATTAATAATTATGTTAAATTTTTAAAATTAGAAAGATTGGATAAAAAGAAAAAAATTATGGGACCAAAAAGTTTCTTCATGAAGAAACGTTTTTTAGGTCCCATAATTTTTTTTCTTTTTATCAAATCTTTCTAATTTTGAAAATTTAACATAATTATTAATGATTCTGCGTTGAATGATACCAAATACTTGATGGTTGAACGCTCCTAGACGCTCCTAG